AAACAAATTCACATCTAGTTCCCAAATATACCTACACTTCCATCCCAATTAACCAACTCCCTGATACCTCAAGACAACCAAACTCATTAATGTGAACACTTTATTCCTGGTCTCCACTGCCATTCCAACCACTCTGCAGCACTTCTGCCTTGATGAAGATCCACCATCCTCTTCTCTCATCCAACCTCCATCTCTCACCTCCTGCCCTCCTGACACAAAACCTGCTGCCTGACCTCCCTGTCCCACTCGCTCTTCACCTACTCTCAAATGTAAGCCTGACCCCTAACACTCCTTGGTCTTCACCGAACTGCCCCTAGCACTTCAGTCTCATTGTTTTTTATTTAGGCAAATCCTACTGCAACCTGAGCTTGGTCAGAGTCTTTGTTACATCTCTCATATGACCACTCCTTTCCTTCAGAACCATTATTTGTTAGTAATTGTGCACTTAATTTTTAATTCTTATTCTCACAATAAAAAATTATCAGACCCCAGAAAGAAGGTACCATGTCATACCATATCTTCAATCAGTTTCAGACCAGAGATAAAAACGACCACACTGATGGCATATGTAAGAGAAAGCCTTCCTCCATGCTGCCCACCCACATGAGGGTGCACTCCCTCTGACTCTAAGCACCTGCCCAGTTTTACCCGAAAGCTTAGTTTATGTCCCTTGCAGTCTCAGGTGACTGGCACACAAAAGAAAGTGAAGCTCTCGAGTGATATGCACGGAAGTTTCAAAATTTACCCTACTGCACAGAAGGAACAATAGAAGTGACCTACACCCACTGATAAGAACTTAGGGAAGGCTCCAAAATAATATGTAATAAAGACCAAGTCAGAAAGAATAATCAGACAGAACACCTCAGCAGTTAGCAGTTTATCACACAGACAAACCCACTACAGCTGGTCTAAATGACACTAGAGGTAACCCAAAACCCACTTCAGTTTTTCATAATTTGGCAAAATGTCAATTGCGAAACCTGGGAATCCAATACTAAGAATAAGTAGGTGCACTCGGGCTCTGTTCCCTGGCTGACAGGCAGCAACATGGAAGAGACAAAAACAGGCCATGTTGTCTTGCCCAAAGTAGATCCAGAACATTCTCTACCTTGGAAATCAAACAAGAGCCCAAGATAACCACATTGGTGCCATGTTGCTGCACACGGCTGGGTAAGCCATGGAACCCTTCCTCAGTGCTCTGTCCTGACCCCCAATAACTAAAGGAAAATGAACAATTAATTATGGCCAACTAAGCACCTGGATTTCCTTTTGCCTCATTTGAAATGTTGCCTCTTAATCCTAGTGTGTTCTCTACCAAAAAAAATAATAACTTTTCATAATTTTACAGATGCACAGTGACCAGGTATAAAGCTCACCCCTTTAAGAGAATTTCCCCATTAAAGGCCTGGCTTCAAAGTCCAGTGAGCCTATTGCCACTGTGACAAAGGACAGGTGCCCAGGCCCAGAGCACAGAGCACCCACCTCCCCAGGCCATGCATCTAACTTCATCTTAAACATTCATCCAGGGAGGTTCACAAAACAGGACATTTTTTTTAGAGAAATTTTATTACTGAGCAGAACTGTAATGTTTTGTTTTTATCTTAAAAGCATGAGCCTTATTCAGAGTAGCTGCCAAAAATAGTTGAAAACAAAACTCCAGTATGATTAAATCAGAATCAAATTTCAGAGTCATGGAAAAGAGTCACACAGCTGACTATATCACACAATTCCTAGGCTTGAACAATGCATTTGACACCACCTGTGAGTCTGGGAATCAGTGTGGATTGTTAATTACATTTTTACAGTTACAACTTAAATTGAGTCCTCTAACCTAGGAAGGCATTCAGAACATTTTCATTATATATAAACATATTTCAAAGTATTTCTCAACAAATCAAAAACTGAGTTAAAAGCTACTCTGCCCTTTGGTACATTGTACTCTAGCTTTTTTCTACTTGGAAGCTAATTTCAACTAGCACTTGTCATCCCAGTTGCATGGGAGGCAAAAGTAGGAGGATCATGTTCTGAGGCCAGCCCCGGGCAAAAAGTGAGACCCTACCTGAAAAATAACTAAAGCAAAAAGACTGGAGGTGGCTCAAGTGCCCACCTACCAAACCCAAGGCCCTGAGCTCAACCACAGTGCTGTCAATCAATCAACAAATAAATAAATAGTCTAAAAAAAGAATTTCACTTATTAATCCTTAAAACTTTTTCCAACATTAAAGAATTTTCTCACTTACATAGGATATGCAATAAAAGATTCTAGAAAATGTATAGATTTGTTGGCAGATTCATACAAAAGTACAAAATCTAAAATACAGTTTAATAAGAATCCTATGGTTTTAATGTGCAACTGTTTTGGAAGATGAGACTAGTTGCCTTCTCCCTGTTTTGTGTGCAATCTGACAGTTAACTGTGCCAAGAGAAGACTGTATGACTTTCAGATGCTCAATAACCAATCACCCCCAAAGAACTAACTGGCATCAACTATTTAACCTAATCGATTTTTATAACCCAGTCCAACAATGGCAGAGGACACATTATTTCCAAGTACACATGGAACCACCACCAAAAAGGCTACACGCTGGGCCATAAGACTCCATACATTTCAAAAGATTTTTAGAAATCTTACTGTTGATCATCTGCATCTTGATATTCTGACTCAAAATGCAAACTCTGCTTAGAGAGTCTGCATTGGCAGGACGCAGGGAGGAAGAATAAAAACAATGATGCATATGCCATAAAACTCAAAGGCAGTGCTAGATCACAAGGAACATAAATGTGTCAATGTAGCTCAGTATCCTCAGGAGACCATGTGCAGCCCCATAAATCCTGCTCATACAACCATCCAGCCTCCACAGTGAGGTGTTCTAAGCAACTGCCAGAGGCAGGCATGTAGGAGCAGGCACATCGTAAGCTTACTCTCCTGAAAGGCACAAAGTTCAGGTTGAAGATGGCACCAGCGACACCGGCAACCTATGTCTGCAGAAGGAAAAGGAAAACAGATGCTCAGCAGCGAACACCTGTGAGGAGAGCACACAGAGGTCCCCAGCTTTCTAATTGTCCAAAACAAGTGCTGTCGGCTAGTACATACTGCATAAAGCAAAAAACTACACAACCATGTTGCCACAGCTATGGTTAATGGATATGGAAATGTATTTGTGATCAAGTGAAAGACAAAAACATGACACTACTAAGTCTTCTTTACTTAATGGGAAAAGGCTGTACGTGTAACCTAAGAAGGGTTGGGTGAAAAGCTCACCTGAACAATACCAATAATGAGTTCTGAAATTACAGGGGATTATTTCCTTCTGTATACATTTTTGTATCATTCAATTTCTTTCTCACAAGGAGTTGTGTATGTGTGTGTATGTGTGTGATGATAGGGGTGAAACTCAGGGCCTCACACATGCTAAGCAGATGCTCTACCACTGAGCTCTACCCTTTGCCCAGGTTGTGCTATTTTTATATAATAACAAAAATAAGAAAAAGAAATAAAAAAGAAGGGAGGAAGGAAGGAGGCAAAGAGGAAGGAAGGAGAAAAGCAGAGATGAGAAAGAAAGAAAACAAGGAAAATGAAGGAAGAAAAAGAGATAATGAAAGAAAGATCAATACAACACTAGTTCATCTCTTCCTAATATTATAGCTGCAAAAGGGCACCTGCATAAATTCCACATAAATTGCTGCAGTCACTTTAAGCTTTGTAACTAACAGAACAAACTGACTATAGTTTAAATCTCTAGATGGTGCTCTTCATATGGCTTGCAGGAAAGCATCTGAGAGTTGCCCTAGCTAACTAAAAAGCCCACAAAAGACAAATGGCACCAACAAAAACACCATCAAGTCATAAGCGGGCAGAAAAGCCCTGCGGTTTTTGATGTAGTGTGTTCTTGACTCACAGAAGCTCACAGCAGCTACATGAGGCAAACTCGACCATGGCAGGTGCTAATGAATCAAATGTCCTTCAATTTACACAACATACACATCTGAAATTTTTTGGTCTTCCTCGCAATATCAAGAAAACATGTAAGATTTCTGCCAACTCTGAGCAGAAGTCAGAAAAGGAGACATGAACAAGACCCAACAGTTGTGCTCACCCAGCTTATAGCTCAGCAAGCAAATGGATGGAAGATAAGGCAAAATTGCTCAATAGTTAGCAAGCACCCAGAAGGAATCACAGTGAGTGTCCTGATGATTTTACCATCTTCTGATCTACTAAAGTAACCTCACTGGTTTAATATCTGTGCTATTAAAGTTTTATGAGGCAATGGATCTATCACAGTTACCTCAATACAACTATGACGAAGACTGTGTATATGGCTGTGAGCCTTTCTGCAATTTCAGTTCAAGTCAAACACAAAAGGACATGTGGTGAAATAGCTCAAGAAGACCCCCAAGTCTCATCATCTCATACAATTAGGAATTTGCTGGCTTTTATATGCAGAGCCAAACATCCTGCCACAAATTCTTAAAATGTTGAGTTGTCACTCCTCCTCCTCCTCCTCTTCCTGCTCCTTCTTCTTCATCCTCCTCCTCTCCCCATTCCTTCCAAGAGCACAGAAGATTAAGGAGCAAGCAAGGTTACACTGACTTTGCCAGGGACAACTATGTTCATGATGCCAAAACCACAACCTACACTGAAGAAGGTGGTCAGTGTGAAGGAATATCACAAGGAAGGACACTGGGACATGCCCAGCCTTCTACAGCAAGACAGTGCCTCACATAGGCCAGTTGTTGAGCCAGATCAGTTCCAGGCCAGCACTAGGACCAGAACGCAGAGATCTTGTATATCCTACGCTGAAACACAGTCGTCATAATAACGGGCCCGTGTTGTCAAGGAAGATGTTATGTTTGGTTAAAATAGGAAAAAATGGCATGGAAACATTTGGGCAAGTCACACTCACAAAATTCCAAAACTTAGTATTAAGTCCTTAGTACCAAGAAAATTATTATATCCTGGCATCAGAAGATTCTTGATACTTATTATAAAACAGAACATACTACAGTGGGTGTGCAAACAGAAAAGAAAGTACTCCTACCTCCCCAGCTCTCCCCACCCCACCTCCGTCCTCCACAACTGCCTTGAGAGCAGCTTCCCCTGGACTGGAACTCACTCTGTCTTTATCATCGGCTACATCACAGAGGATGTCATCCAGGTCTAGTATTCCTCCATCTCCATGCTCCAGGCGGTGCACCTGTATCCAGTAGTTTGGATCCTAGACAAAAGATGAGACATATTAAATATAACAATTTAGCATTGCCAAAATGGAGTTCAACAATTTAAACTGCGATAACTTCCTGCCCACAAAAAGGAATCGACTATATCAACAATACTTTAACTGATTAGAAATTCAGGCCGTTCCCTGCACTTAGTTGAGTCAATTTCTCCTTTTCATTTAAGAGAGAGTCACTCACATATACTCTGTCCCTTGGCTCAGATGCTGATATACTGTTATGATAGGATTACAGGAATCAACAAAACTCACTGCCTAATTCTGATTTCTCCAAAGTAGATTGGCATCCAGTATATGAATTACCTAACAATCCCTCAGTGCAATCTACCAAAATACTCAATAAGCAAGCAGCACATATCACGCATCTGAAAAAAACTCATATTTGCTAAACTGCAAAGAAGGAGGTTGCACAACCTGGTGCTCCAAGTGCTCCTTACAAACAGGTCCAAAGACAGTGACAGCAGAGGCTGTTGACAAAACCACAGGTGAACAGAGCAGGCTCACAATCACTTGTGTGGTAGGAGCCTATTTTTATAAAGGCAAAATCACACATGTATGCTATGTGCCTATTAAAATATCTTTAAAAAACATGCCAAAATGTGCAATGATTATTGCTGGGAAGTGAGACTGGACAGAAAAGAGGAAAAGGACATCATTTAAAATTTTATACACTTCTGTATAGTATATAAAACCATTAAAGCCTATGTTCAAATTATTTGAAAAGAAAACAGCTGTCTTTGAATGTCCGCAGTCACTCTCCTTTATCTACACCAATTAAATACAGTAACTTGTATGTTGTGTGATTGCTACTGCTTTTCCTGCTATCACAAAGTTTCATTAACAGTCCATTTTTCCAATCTAAGAAGGGATGTTTAGTTCACATTTTTCTTGAAGAATAAGTGGAAAGAAGATGAAAGATGGATGACGGTTAAAATACAAACTCCTCCCAAATCTGTAGACTAAGACCTTCCCTCCAGGGATGGTGTCAGGGACTCCACATTCTTCAGAGGCTCTCCAAATGAATGTCACACAAAAGCATGCCTGAGAACCACTAAAATGGAACACTTCCCATTTTAAAAAATGCAGAATTACTAATCCTTGTCACTTTTTAACCAGCAGAGCAAGCAGCCCCAACTTTAACATTCAAAGTTATTAAACATTATAATAAAAAAGTATTATGAGGGCTGATAGAGTGGCTCAAGTGGTAAAATGCCTACCCAGCAAGCATGAGGCCCTGAGTTCAAACCCCAGGGCCATCCCCCCCCCCAAAAAAAAAAGTACTATGCCGATAACCTGAAGGTTATCTATGTAGCTCTCTATAAAGGGACTCATTCATCCAGAACGCCAAGAACAAGTTTGTAACACACACACACAGAGGCATATCTTCATTTGTGAGGCTTATCTGACTACTCATGAATTCCTGATTTCAACGGTACCCAAGGAGTCTTTAGAAACCAACGGCTGTCTGTGCTTCAGAATTTGTCATTTCTAGGTTTGTTGAGCAGCCAAAGAACAAAGTCCCAGAACAAACTATACTCCTAGTTCCTTGTCTTCCTGACCAAATGGTATTAACTGTCCAAGAGAAACCAAAAGTAACCAATGGCCTGGGGTAAACAAGGAAAGAGAGTCCCTCATCCATCTTTCCCTAACCACCTGCCCCACCACTACCACCACCAAGCAAGCTCCAGCATCAACTAATCAGCTTAAATAGCAACTTCCATTTTTAAATATGGAGTTAATTATATACACGCAAGCAGGCTGACCTCCAAATTGTGCTTATGAAAAATTCTTTTTTCCTCCCTTTGGAGTGAGGGTGAGTACTGAGTTTGAACTCAGGGTCTTATGCTTGCTAGGCAGGCTATCTGCCACTTGAACCATGCCCATAGCCCTTTTTTTCTTTAGTTATTGTTCACTAACTAATAGTGTCTCCTGTTTCTACCTGGGTGAGACTACACAGTGATCCTCCTATTTACACCTCCTGCATAGCTGGAACCATAGGTACACACCACTCCTGGCTTATTTGTTGAGATGGGGGTCTTATAACTTTTTGCCCAGGGGGGCCTCAAACTGCAATCCTCCCAATCTCCACCCCTCAAGCACTTGGGATTATAGATGTGCATCACCACACCTGGCCAGGAAAACTATTATTTAAGCTTTTCTCTCTCTCTCTCTCTCTCTCTCTCTCTCTCTCTCTCTCTCTCTCTCTCTCCTCCCTCCCTCCCTCCCCACCAACGTGGGATTATCATCTGCAGGTTTTATACATTGCAGCCATCCCTTCCAAGTAAGTCACACCAAAAGATTTCTCAACCACCTAACTTCGTCCTTCAGAACTTGCTGTGTTCCAGTCTTTCCCCCATCAACACCATTTCACAGCCACATTAGAACCACACAAACTCCAGTCCCCCAATGTGCCAGCCCCTCAATGCCCAAGTCCTCCACATCTTCCAGGCTAGCCCTGTCCACCCCACAGGTACTCTTGAGAATCCCTTTCTCCGTGAGTTTTTCCTGTAGACAGTCAGTCTACAAGTCTATCTCCAGCCCACCATTACTAATCCTCCTAAAACAGTATGCAAAGTGGCAAACAGATGTTAAGTTTCAGTCTTTCAAAGCTGTTAATGCTTTTCACATGCTAAATGTCATTACAAAACTTCTGCTGACCACTCTTGCTCCTCTGGTTACTATACAATTCTCTGATCCTCTTGAGAACAAACTTTTAGCAGAATTATCTACCCTTACTGCTTCAGATTCATCTCCTCCTAACCCCATCCTACCCAGTCTTGCTCCACAGCACACTCCCCACAATGTTCATCCAGTCACCTCAGCCTCCACATTGCTGAGTGCAATGGCACTTGTCTATCAGACAAGCAGCGTGATTCCAGTGATGACCCCTCCTAAAACACCCCACAAGCGTGGTCTATAATCCTCAGCTAGCTGATCATGGCTTTTCTAAATTTGGAACTTAGTTGTTGACTCTGCCTCTGGAGAGGACCTGATTCAACAATCAGCTCTGTCATGTGGTCATGACAATGTCATGCCAAGATATGGATCAAGCCACTCATTAAATCCCACTCCATGCTTATGTGCTGAGTGGAAGTGACTTTTTGAAAAGAGGGAAAGAGGAGGAAATCACTGGTAATCCCAACAGAGCACACTACATTAAAAAATCAGATTTGAGTAGGTCATATAAAAATTACCTTCTCCCATCAGAGTCTAAAAACCATGATAGTTATTTTTGCCATTGAAAAAACTATTACTCCCCAGAACAGTAGTCTCTCAGGCAGTTTTAACTGGTGGCTTTCATTAACATAATTCTTTCAATAAACAGAAGCCTTGCAATATTCTCAAGGGATTAACAAGTGTCCCACGGCGGGGGGTCGGGCGGGGGGGGGGGGGGGAGTTGGAGCATACTTCTACTTTGTGAAACTTGCACTTAAAAAGTTGACTAGTAGTAACAGAAATAATTGCTGCCCTGTCTATAGAAAATTAGAAATGTAACTGAAAACAAGAGCTGTGATATGCTACTGCCAAAAACCTCCCACTAATTCCATAATAACTATAGTGGGTTAAAAAAAATAAATGTAATATAACATTGGATCTTTTTTTAAAGGATCAAGGTATTTCATATATGATATGTTTGTTTAAAAATAACCAAAGATGTATACAAAAATAATAAAATTAGGTATGGTGGCATATATCTGTAGTCCCAGCTACTCAGGAGAGTGAGACAGAAGGATAACTTGAACCCATGGCCAGTTTGGGTAACTAATCAAGATCCTGTCTCTTAAGAACTAAAAATATTTTTAAGTAAATACAATAATAATTTTACCTGTGACAACCAAAAATACATCATGCATGAGCAATAACAAAGTTTACCCAGCAAGTGGAAAGCTGGTGGAGTGGCTCAAGTAGTAGAACATCGGCCTAGCAAGTGGAAGCCCTAAGTTCAAGCCCCAGTACTGAAAAAAAAAAAAAAAAAACAAAATCTCTTAGGAGATAAATGTCCTATCCAGGCACATCAGACCAAGTTCTAAATCAACAGCAGGCATCTGCATACCAAACCATTCAAAGAATCGCTGCTTCGAATCCAGGTTAGAACAAGGCGGGGACCTGACCCTGAGGAGCAGAAGGGAAGGGATATTTCTCACTGAACTAGAATGTAACCATCAGTAACTTCACAAGACACAAGCTGCAAAGAATGCTGAGGCCCTCTCTGTTCCAGAAATGGCAAGAGAAGACAGTGTTGGCAAAGTCCTAATTAAAAACTGGCTTGGAACCCACCTTCCAGAAACTTCTCATGTTCTATACCAGGCACCATTCACATTCTGCAGCAAGTTAATGAGCTCTGTGAGCTGTGACAGTCCCTGCATATTTTGCGCCTGTGTTTGTGCATGTCTGCAGAAGAACATCTGCAACTAGAAACTACACTCTCCTTTTATAAGAACCATGCAATAGGCAATATCCTGACAATTTTTCAAAATCTCCATGTGAACATGAGACTAGAGAAACATCACTGAAAATCCACCTAGACCAAAAAGTTGAATATTTACTATATGAAAAGCACAGAATGAAGGCAAAGCAACAATCACTGCCTATTGTCAGAAATAAAAAGTTACCACTCAGTAAAAAAATAAAAGAAATAAAAAGTTATCAGGTATGGGAGAAAATCTTTGCTAGCTATACATCAGACAAGGGACTGATAACCAGAATATACAGGGAGCTCAAAAACTAATGAACTCCCTCAAAACCAATGAAACAATAAAGAAGAGGGCAACTGAACTAAACTGAACTTTTACAAAGGAAGAAGTTCAAATGACCAAAAAGCACATGGCTGTAAAGGAAATGCAAATCAAAACCACACTAAGATTCCACCTCACTCCTGTTAGAATGGCTACCATCAAGAACACCACCACCAACAACAAATGTTGGTGAGGATGCAGGGAAAAAGGAACCCTCATACACTGCTGGTGGGAATGTAAGCTAGT